AAWWAAAMYWWTTTKRAAAWWAMKKWAAMYTTTTTTTTATTTTTTAAGATTCAAAACCAAAAGTGTCTGCAGACTTCGAAGATTTGTTATCTGGTCAAGGTTTTAATGCTCACAAAGACAAGAAAGGACCCAAAACAATAGCTGAGATGAGAAAAGAAGAAATGGCTAAGGAGATGGACCCTGAGAAACTAAAAGTAAGCAATACTGTTATTTGTTATGCTCTTACAGTCATTCCCTCTCAYCAGAGACTGCTTGCACCGTTCCCCCTGAAGGGTGGAGGGGGTTAAGAAGTGACCGGCCTTCCTAAATGTGAGGAGGCAGCTAAGCAAATCTTCCCTCTCTTTAGTGCCAAGGCCACTAATCACCCTGTTTTAGCACTTACTTCATCTCATGCACATCCCCACTGCATTGCTGGATCCCTGGGACCAGATGGTGTCTCATGCTTGCCTTCCATTAGGTATGTGCCTAAACTTGATAGCATCATGAACTGCTGTGCTCCATATTTGCATTGCAGTGACTTAATGTGACCAGAAAGGCAAAGTCCTAAACGGTAGATTTTGGAGACAAACTGAAAGAATCTACTTCATCAGAAATATCTATGTATTTCTTCTACTCTGAAAAATAAATTCAAACAAACTCTGGCCTGAAGTGGCTTGTTAAAGATTTTATTGTACCAAATAAATACCAAAGAACATTTCTGCTAGTCTGCAAAACTCAGATTTTGGCTAAATGAGGATGTTCTCTTCAGAAGAGATGAAAAAGATTAAGACAAAGCACACAGACTGCCAAGTATCTCCCAATTGCTTTCTAAAACTTGTAAAGAAGTGCTGGTTGCTCTTGGAGTCGTTCCTATTCAAACGGAGAAACTCTCTTCCTCCTGGAACATGTAATGTGAGGCATAACCTGAGAATCCTCATTCATCTCTCCAGGTCCTAGAATGGATTGAAGGGAAGGAGAGAAATATTAGAGCCCTGCTGTCCACAATGCATACTGTCCTGTGGGCAGGGGAGACCAAGTGGAAGCCTGTTAGCATGGCAGATCTAGTAACACCGGAGCAGGTGAAGAAGGTCTACCGGAGGGCAGTACTCGTTGTTCATCCTGACAAGGTAAGGGTTTCTTAGCTCCATCTCCTTCAGAAGCTTCCATTGCTCTTAAAAATGAGGTGAACAATAAAGCATTTAATGTTACAGCTTAATTCAGTGGTTCAAACAACTTTGTAGGAATATTCTAGATTGCAGAATATTCAAAATAGAATATTTTGAATGGTGAGAACTCTGACAAAACAAGCCCAGTGTCAAGACCGCATGGTATATGCCTCTCTCAGCTTATACCTCCCTAAGCAACAGGGATTCAGCTATTCTGCTTCCCATACTCTATGATGTAGTGACCAGACAACAATACAGAATATTGTGCCTGCTACAGAAGAGTGCAGTGTAATTAAAGACGTATGAAAGGGCAGAGGCCTTAAGCATGATTCTAGAATGAAAGAAATGGGATATCCAAGTCTCAAACCTGTCTTATGGTCTTGCTGATCATACATACCAGCTGATGTGCAATAAAGCAATCTGGGAAACCCTACAGAGATGAAGTTTCCACCATTAAGTGTCTTGGGATTCTGAAATTTTCAGGGCAAGGCTTGAAGATGTAGGCTGCACCGAGCCTTGCAGGGATGCTGCTTTTATCGAGCAGATGGGTCAAGTGACAGCTCTGTCATTCAGTCTGAGCAGAATGCCTCTGGCAAAGCTCAGATTAAAAGCGCTTATCCCCTCTTGGGGCTGTAGTGCATTACCAAAAACTTGGGGGGTTATCTGCTCTGAGGAGCTGAGCAGCTGAAGTATGATGATGTTTTTAAACTACAAAGCCGGTAAGCAGCCCTCAGAAAAGGTGACATTCTTGTCAAATATAACTCAAAGCCATTTGCTTAAAGTGAACTAACTGCTTGAGAATTTAACTCTCTTAATGTCATTTTTATGCCGTCTGCCTCAGTAGATGTGATATCTTTTTTTCTGTTTTTGTTCCAGGCTACAGGGCAGCCGTACGAACAATATGCAAAGATGATATTTATGGAGCTAAATGATGCCTGGTCAGAATTTGAAAACCAAGGGCAAAAACCCTTGTACTAGGTATTTTATCGGTTTCTACAGCAGACCCGTGCTAGTGCTTGTATAGTCTCTTGTCACAAATGTCACAGATCAACCAAACTGTGGTGGAAATTCAGATGTTTCAAAAAATGATGAGCCTAATACTTATCATGAAGAACAAGACAAAGGTTTCCTTATGCTTGTATCGAGAATCTTGTGCTCAGGGGAGCTCTAGCCATGTGGCTTGCCATGTGAGAGCCACAGGGTTACAGTTTCTTGTAACTTTTTTTTTTCCCTCTCTGTAGATTCAAGTGGGGTGAGAGAGGAACACATTCTGGAAAAGGCAGAATTCTTTTGTCTCTGACATTGTGTAGCTGCTGAATTTTCTACTATTTTGTGAATTGTGAAATGGCAACACTTCAGTTGAATTCAGTCACTGGTGGCGAAGCCCAAACTTTTATGTGCTTTCTTCCTATGCTTGGATCAAACCCTATCAAATTTAAGTGCTCAGACATGGTTTAGACACCCTTCTAACTGTCGCCATTTGCTGCTCAACATAGTATGCCTGAACAGAGACAAAGCAGAATCCTGGGTAGATCAGTGTRGCAGCTTGTTGCTGCTTTATGCATTAATACTGTACTTCACCTCACAGCCCATCAGTGAAACATGCAGAAGAAATTCCACAGCACAGTGTCTTTAAAGCAAGCAACAAGTATTTGACATTAAACAACACCTTGTTTGTTTGTTAAACAGCTGGTTTGGGGAATTAGTGGGAGAAATCATTTTCCTCATCTGTAGAAGTGAAGAATAAGCATGTACTACATCTCAAATGAAGTTCTCCTTAGCAGCTRAAGCCATCAAATAAGTGTCAATGATTAAAAACCCTGCTGCATCAGTGAGAGCTTCAGTGGATTTCCAGGTGCAGGGTAATATTTCCCCTTGTGCAGACTGAGAAGTTTGCTGGCATCCCCTCTCTGCCTTGAGCAGCTCCAGAGCACTTGGCCAATGCTCACAGCAGAATGCAGCTTTTTGCATCCCCACCTTTCAGACCAGCGTGGAAGCTGCCATGCAGCATCTGTGGAGCAGTAAATACAGCCCAACTCGATCATCTCAACGTTTGTACTGGTCCAAAGCAGTTACAGTTACAAGGAGGTATCTCTGATGCTAAAGCTGGATTATTTTGCCTTGCTAAAATGCAAGTTATTCTCTTCACCTCAATTCCCGACTTTCTCCTTTTGCAGGATAACTAAAACTAGCAGTATAGTTATCAAACACGTATCTGTATTTGAAAGCTTTGAAAGGCAGAGGTCAGGCAGGAAAGGGTTTGTGCTTCCTGTTGAAGGAAAAGGTTGATATCTAATGTGAGTCTATACAATTGGTGTTTTTAAAGACAATCCACTTGCTGTTGCACTTAAATTCTCAAGTGGCGAAACTACTACTGCAATGACAGTGTGTCTGAATACAGTACTCTCTGTATAAAAGTCATCCTTTTGTTGTATTGGTCCACTATTTACTACCATTAATTGAAGATGTGAAACCAACACATAGGTCTCCTTTTATATAAAAGACCTTAAGATACTAGTAACAAACTGGATGTTATTTATTAATGTTTTGATCCAGTATGTGCTTGTCTTATTTAAAGAGATACCTGGAATGTGAATCGTTCCTGTGATTTGTTGGTTTATTGTTTCTCATTTACATTTGTAGATATTGTGACCTATGCCTAATAATAAAAAGGATCTCATTGCTATAATGTACTTTTTTTTTAATAATGAAAACGACATTAGCTTTGTATCAGGTTTTTGTCATGGCAAACAACTCTGGATACTCATACTTTCACAAATACCACTTCATCATTAAAATTTGTCAACCCTTCCCCRCTTATGTTTTGATTACTCCCATCCCCAATGTTTTTATGGATGCATGAAAGTATTAGGACGTATGTATATCAAAATAGTTAACTTAAAAAAAAAAAAAATCTTGTCATATCTGGTAGTGACAGAGGTTATCAATGTTCAGGCTTACTGTTTGACTAAACTCTTGTAATTTTTGTAAATACAGTATATACTCAATGAAATTGTGACTGGTCTAAAATATTTGTATATACATTAAAAAGCTCAAATCAACATATTCAGGTATGTTTTGTGCTTGGGGTGGGGAAATGACCCCTTAGTCCTGCYTTAAGCACAGCTCAGGCCTAGGACTAAGGCAACCAGTGCTGCGACAAGGAAACTTGTGCAGCCCTTTCCCTATGACTAATGCGGCTGTCATTGCTGCAGGGTGGGGTGGCATCTGCGCTTTGTACACAAATTAACTTGCTCTGGAAACAGCTTTTTCTGGTTTATTTTGATGTCCTCAGCGCGTTGGCTCCGGAGTGGAGACGCGAAGGCAGGAAAATCTTGATTTATACAGAGAAATTGGGCAATGGGGAAAAAATGAATTCCCAATCTTGCTTGCTGAARGGGAAAGGAGTGGGGGGGAGGAAACTTTCACTCCATAAAACCAAAAATCTTTATTTTTAAAMCCTAGAATTATGAAGGAAATCACGTGATATGCCGTGTTTATATATATAATAATATATATAAATATATATAGCTGTTTTAGGATACACTAGCAGTATATACACGAAGCCACAACCTTTATTTGGCTTTTTAAGCTTTTTTTTCCTGCTTGTTTTTGTCACCCGGCCCCAAGCCCCGCCCGGCCCCTCGGGTAACCATAGCGACCAGCCGCTCAGCGCCCCCTCCCCTCCCCTTAAAGGGCGCGCTGCCCTTTTCCCGGCGCGGCGCCGGCTCCCTTCGCGRGTGGGCGCCGCCGCTTTAAGGCGGGCGCCCACGTGGTGCGGCGAGTGGGCGGAGCCGGCGCGCGCAGCCGGAAGACGCCCGCCGCCACCTCAGCGCTGGGTGCGCCGTCGAGGCGCAGCTCGTTCCCCCCGGAAACATGGCGGGCATCAAAGGTACCGAGGGCGCCGGGGACCGGTTTTGGGGGGGGGATGTCGCCGTTGGGGGCGGCCGGGGGCGACGAAGTCGCCCCCGGCCGCCCCCAACGGCGACACCCCCCCCAAAACCGCGGCCTTGATCCCCCCTTCACCCCCTGCCCTGTCCCCTTCCAGCTCTCGTGGCGCTCTCCTTCAGCGGAGCCATCGGCCTCACCTTCCTCATGCTGGGCTGCGCCCTGGAGTACTACGGGTGAGGCGCCGCCTCGGGCCCCTTTATCCCCAAAAAAMCCCCAAACACGCTAAACTGATCGTTTTCTCCCTTTTTTCCCCCTTTATAGCGTCTACTGGCCGCTCTTCGTGCTGCTGTTCTACTTCATCTGCCCCATTCCGCACTTCATCGCCAAGCGCGTGGGCGAGGACAGCGAGGCGGCCAGCAGCGCCTGCAGGGAGCTCGCCTACTTCTTCACCACCGGCATCGTCGTCTCCGCCTTCGGCTTCCCCATCATCCTGGCGCGCGTCGAGGCCGTAAGTGCTGCTCCCTGAGGTGCCCTGCGCGAAGCCGGGCGCCCGGGGCTGCCATGTGCCCTTAAAACTTGGTATAGGGCCCCTTAAAACTTGGTATAGGGCCCCTTAAAACTTGGTATAGGGCCCCTTAAAACTTGGTATAGGGCCCCTTAAAACTTGGTATAGCCCCCCCTCCTTTTATACGCCAAGGAGGTAAATCTTGGTTGTTTTCTTTACCTTGATCACTCCTACATTTCCAATGGAAATAATCACCCCACTAACATCTGTGTTTCTGCCTGTGCTGCTGTCTGACACCCAGCAAATGGTTCCAGTGTCTAAAACATTGAGCTTTTCCCCCGACTATATATATATATATACACACACACACACACATACATATAGTGTGTGTAGTTGTGTGTGTTTTATCTACCACATATTATCTCCTTCTACATCTCATGCTTCTATCGTCAAACTTCTCATTGCTTCATCTGCTATTTTCCTTATTTTTATCCCCCAAATGTCTGCTGCCTGTATTTAAGACGTCGCTAATTTGGCGGCTGGCAGGTGTTGTCAGCTAAGAAATACAAAGCCAGCCATCTAAAATGACTGTTATGGTTTTTAAGGTATTCTCTTGCTCAGGCTTTGTCTCCTGAGCCTGAGGAAATCCTTCTAGTTTCCCCGTGCTCCTAGTTTCTCCCTTCTCCCTGTCCCCTTTCAAGGCAAAGAGCTATTTCCTTTCATCTCCCAAACTACCCCGTGGCATTTTAGGCTTCTTTTGCTTCCCCCTCCTTGCCTTGTTCTTTCAGTTTTGGTTTGGATGCTTCGCAATTCCTCTGTAATGCACCCATGCCCTGACACTGCTGCTTTAGTAGTTATAGGCTTGGGAATTGGCAGGACCAGAGGTGACCGCGAGGGGGAACTCGAATTCTGCAGTCACTCCAGATTGCTGTTCTATAGTCCATCCCTGGCAGCATCTTTTAGAAGTAAAATAATGTTTATTTAAGTAAACTTAGGCAGGTACTAAGCTGCAGAAAGCTACCCACCTTTAAGACCACATACTCTTCTCCGTGTTCATTACTTGAATTTATTTGAAAGACTTTCGTTCTGAGGCACAGTAATTAAAAGTGAGCACTCATTTCGCCAGCTTTTCCTATAATTTAATGTTTTACTTAGTGAGAGGGTTGTGTGGCAAGATAATTGCTTTGTCCCAAAATACAGTATTTTCCATCTATTGAAATTTTATATTAATACTGTAGTTATTCAATTAGCAACCATTCACAAATTATTGTTTGCCCTTTTCATTTAGGCTTTTAGCACCTTTCTGAGGTATTTTATTTCATTTATCTCATGCAAAAAAAGAACTGGCCTGTACATTTCTTATGAAACAACCCAGCATTTCTCATTTCCTTGCATTTCAGATCAAATGGGGAGCCTGTGGTCTGGTCCTGGCTGGAAACGCAGTCATTTTCCTCACTATTTTAGGCTTCTTTCTTGTATTTGGTCGAGGAGATGACTTTAGCTGGGAGCAGTGGTAGGACTTCGCTCTGACACGGGTAACGTTTCACAGCATACATCACCATATGCATACTCTGCCTGTGTATATGTGTTAATATATTATAATGTATGTCCGTGTGCATGTGGGGAGGTCTGTGTGTGCTCACACATGTAACCCTCTGTTATTGGGTCATAACATGCTTTTTAAACGTGCATCACGCAGAGGAGAAAGGCCCTTGGGGCAGCTTTCTAAATGTGCTCAGTACAAGCCCGAATCACAATTGCAATGTTTGTACACAACAAATATGTTTACAAAGCATTAACTGTTTTGCTCATTTTTCACACTGTGTGCATTAACCCTTTTTTTTTTAATCACAGTAACATTGACACACGTGGCATTGGTTAGCAGCCTGTTGGTTTTTTAACAATATAATCAAGATAGACCAATATAAAGATGGTGGTGTTTACTGTTCTGCTTGATCTTTCTGCCTTGATTAGAGATGAATGAATACTTGTTTTCTACTGTAGCTTTGGCTTTTTTTTTTTTTTTTTTTGGATAATATAAAACCAAATGTAGGTTATACCAGAACCTGTTGCATACAATGGAAGAAAAAGAAAATAGTAACTTTGTTTAAAAATCCTCCCTTCAATTTATTCTGCTCACTTAGCTTTTTTTTTTTTCCTGTAGAGATATTCTGTTTTATCTATATTTGACTTACAATTCTGGCTATATGTGGGGAGTTACCTGATATATTTAATGCCTTTAGCTGTGCTCAGACCTGAAATAATTTCTTTCATAAATACTCACAAAAGAAGACACATTTGAAACTGCTCCCATGATCTCAGGACAGTGATAATAGCAGTGTAGTGTACAGCTCTGTATCCTTATGTGTGAAGGACCTGGATTGCGAAGAAGTGAATGTTCTGCTGAGAGATTCCCAACAGCAGAAACTCTAGGACTTGGTATCTCCTCAGCTCTTACTGCTTTAAAACATCCTTAACTGAAACTACTGCTTTCTATGTCTGTGAGAAAAGATCATATGAAAACACTATCTTAAAATAGCATTATCCTAGTAAATGTTCGCACAATAAAATGTAAAAGCAAAATATATTACTCTTTTTGGCTTGGTGAAGCCTTCAAATAGTGGAGGCATGTGACTTTATAAAGATGCTTTCTGRTACACCCCTGATTCTAGAGGACACTTCAGAAACCTGAGAAGGGATGAAGAACAGACACTYTAACTCAGTCTTTCACTGAAAAATGAGCATGAAGTGATCATTGCTATGGTGTATAGTGAATATCCTATTGTGTATGAGAGTGAATCCTACAGTGCTGAGGAATGCTGAGTACCTGGATTTCCTACGTGTGTCTAGACTGTAATTCTTGTAAAAGAAGAATTAACGGTAAAGGACACATTTTTGTTTGTTTGCTTTTCTGCGTGTTAATGGTTCATCACAGATATAGCAGGAAAATGCTCGTGAAGRTGCTGAGCATAAGCACGTTCTCTTAAAAGGTCTTGTTTTGTTTTGTTTTTTTTTCCTGATTTCAGGTGAAATCTGCTAGACCCTACTGATTTGTCCTTACTGTTATAAAGCACTAATAGGGAAATTACTTGCTCAAATTACCAGTTGAGCTGTTTACTCTAAACATAGCTTCCATTTATAGACTTTTTTCTTTTTTTTTGTTGTTGTTTTTTTTTTTTTTTGAAAGAAGTCTCTTATTTGTCCTACACTACCACATTTCTCGTTCTGATCGGTGAGGTACAGACACGATAATACAAAAAATAAAGTGCCCGATCCTGCGTATGGCTGTTGAAAGTCATTGGTGATCATTCCATTTAACCCCTGTTAAAATATTTATATATTTGCAGGACTAGGTTCTAGGGATCTAAAGGGTGTTTTGTATTTTTACTCCTTAGAATTTGCATACCAAAGGCTGCAATAGAAGGCTACAGAACTATTAAATTACCACTCAAACGTCATTCAGAGACAGGGAAGTGAAAAACAGCTGAGACCATTATTTTTTCTTGAGATGAGGGAATAGGTATTTATAGACTCTATTCTAGCTCTGTTAGCAAATAGTGTGTTTGGGACTGATGGAGGCTGCAATATTGGCAGAAAACACGTGACAATCGAAAATGGAAAGGACTAGAACAGACAGTCTTGAAGGGAAATTGCCTCTTTGGCTAATTATTCTGTTGTGTTTCCTTTGGGTAAATCTGGGGTCGGTGGGTACCTCGTGAAGCAGCAGGCAGGTGTGGAATGGAAATGTGAACACTTTTTTTTTTTTTTCCTAAAAATGCTACCTGTGCTAATTTTAATGTGAACTTCATGCAGTTTTCACCAGAGACTTTTATTCTAAAATGGTTATTTTCTAAAATCGTATTTAATGTAAGGTTTAAATCATGGAACTYTTCCTTCGCCTCCTTAAAAGTAAATTTGCTTGAATGAGTCGTCTATGTTAATAGGAGAAAAAAAAAATCTCTATTAAGAGCTTTTCTCATTCAGACAAACCTGGTGCTCTGATGGCCAGTACTGGACATCCTGTCACTATCTACCAGTAGCGATTTACTGTGGTTTTTCTGARATTATTTTCCTCTATGGAAGTGAATACTATGTATCCAAAGTGCCTTAATTTCAAGACTCTGCTGATTTTGTGAACTCATACACCTGGAAATATCACTGTGTTTCATCATCATTTGAAAATCTGTTACGCATTTTATAAAGCTTTTTATCAATTAACCATGTTTTCTGAAATCCAGCAGTGCAGGTTTTGTAACTTTTGTAAACACTGTTTTCCATGATAGTCCATTTGTTGAAATGAAGAAGTATTAAAACATGGCAATTAAAGCATATTCCTTTTTTTTTCCTCTTTAAACTGTCTAATAAAGCTGATTAAAGATGCCTGATGCTTAAGTATTTGTCCTCCTTGCATTCACAGAGCTGACCTAAGACCTGTATACCAGAGGAAAGGCTGGAGAAACCGCATGCCAGGTCCTTCATAATGGTTTTGTTGCTGATAGAAATGGCTAAGGTGGGAGGTTAATGAGCAGTTCTGAGGTTTGCTGCAGTGGAGCTCGCTTCTCCCGATTGCTCTTTGGTAACATGAGCCCTTCAGGTGGGTGCTCGGGCTGTAGGATCCTTGGGCTGTTCTGCCAGGTGCTCTCTTGTCTGCGTCACCCCGTTTTCGGGACGTGGTAGAAGTGCCTGGCGGCTCTTGGCTCTGTGGCAGTTTTGGTTTCAGGCTTGTGGGTCACCAGGAAGGCCACTCAGCTCTGCTGAGATCCAAACGTGGGCAACAGAAGCCATTATCTAACTGCAATAGGTGGAATTACTGCTGTTTTATACTGGAGCCTATTGTAGAGGCTCTATTCAAGTATGCCAGTATCTTATCATCACTTAGCCTGCAGCTATTGCTTGTTCTGTACTCAGCTGTGCGTGCTGAACCTTTGATCTCTTTAAAGATGCTCAAAGAAAACAAACAGTGTGGGCAAGTTGACAATTTCAAGAGCGGGTGCTTTTCCAAAAGGCTGTAGCATCAGACTGAGGCACCCTGTGAGCCCTGATGGAAGCAGGGATGCAGGAGGCATCACAGCTACCTCTTTCCTTTCTGGGTCATTACTCCAGTTGCTAAATACGTTAAGTGGATGGTTCTGATCTCACTGCTTCTTGTGAAAACAAAGCTTAATTAATTTAAAGTCACCCAACTTGAATAAAAGAACACTATAGGGTCTGGATTTTGAAGAGCAGGTGCTTTCTGCTTGATGAATTGAGCATCCAAGCTGTGGAGAAGGTCAGTACGCTTGAGCTTTGAATCGGTGAGTTACTGGCATTGCCATGTTCTRCTAAACAAACATTTAGAATTGCCCTTCACTGCCTAACCTGGCTCATGCTCTGCATGTAGTGACTTGAGACTCTCGATTTTTTTAGCCCTGGATCTTGACTGCCACTACGTAGCTTGGTTCTGGGTTTGCTAGGATCATCCCCGGGATGCAGCATCTCATACGCTCTATCCCTCACCCGCTGGTGTTGCTGGTGTTTGGTGACTGCTCAGGCCTCTTCCCTGTCCACTAACTCTTAGCTGGGGGGGAAAAAATAAGTAAATAAGGATCTTGCACTGATTTTTATAGTCATTTCAGACCTTAAGCCGGTAATCTTCCTAAATAGCTATAACTCTGGTAACTTTTTAGAACTGTACACAGACTTTAATTCTGTAAAATGAATGTAAACTCATTAATACACAGGGCTTAGCCAAACAAACTTGTCCTAGGGAGCCACACGCTGACTTTTATTGTTGGGCTGAAAATTATGTAAAGCCCTAGCATGATCTCTGCAATACTGATCATCTGCTAACACAGCAAGATCTGGGGGATACGGCATCATTTACTCTGCAGGGATTATTTCTGGTTTATGATAMCGGACCAGAAGACTGTTTCATTAAGCTGGATGCACACCAGGTACTAATAACTGATTTGTTTGGGTGGTCCCTGCAAATCCATGACCTGTTCCTACTTGTAGGGCTTTACAGGGAAGTGCCTCTTCATAAGATAGAGGAGGAGCCTTTGGTTGGTAAAATGGGATTAAATTTTAAAGGCCAAATTGATGTTCTTTTAGGTATTTTCTTTCTCCAGTGTCTTGCTCGTATACCCACTTCTGCTTTTGTTTTTTTTCTTGAGGTTCTTTCAGCTGATAAGCAGATGAAGGATTTTAGAGCAGCCCGGATTAAGTTCTCCAGGAAGGTTTAGAGGTGGAGTTGAAGGCAACAGAATAGGGACAGGCCCAAGATCTTAGAGAGGCACGCAGTTCATTTACAGCAATGTGTTCTGAGCATTCACCGCACCCAGAAACAGCAACTTCATAGAAAAAAAAATGTATAGCTGTAGCCGGGTGTCTTACCCATGGTCAAACTGGAACTTTCCTTGAAGTGTTTCAAGTTGCTGTTCCTGTAGCCCCAACTGGTCTGGCTGGAAGAATCTCTTCACCATGTGCCTCTGATATTATTCCATGATGTTCATATTCTAGACTAGAGAATTCCTTCAATTGGGGAACAAAATTGGAGAGGGGAAAAAAAATATCTGGTATTTATTGCAGATTATCTGGACCACAAACAGGGTACTTTCTCACGAGCCTGCCCGTTTAGGGAGCAGACTTACCTGGAGTGCAGTTAGAGGCATCACAGACTTCTGAGGATATGGCTTTTTATGGCTTCTCAGAGGGTTCCTTGTAACCACRCAGGGATTTTGTTCACTTTCCTCTTGAGATAATACTGTACAGAGAGATTAATATTTGTATGAGTTTAGCGTGGGTAACATTCTTCACATATTCACCCATTTTGCTTGTCCTCTGTTTCAGGCCATGCTCGTTTCTGCTGGATGGCTAAGCCCTTCCCAGGAAGGTGCCCATCCTTGCACGGCTTGTTTGGGCTGCAGGTCTTTGTATTCCATGACTAAGATTCCCTGGAGGTCCTTAGCAAACTGTTTGAAGCTGATGTTTCCAGTAGACCAGTTCTAGATTTGATCAAATATTCTGGATTTTGCTTCCACTGAATGGCCCATTTTAAAAGGACTGGTTGGTTGGTCTAAATTTTCCTTTCCATGAGGGTGATGGGTCCTTGCCTCCCTGTCCTTAAGGCAGGACCTCCAAGCAAGATCCTTGCTATGAAGCAAGGATCACTGGAGGAGACAGGGCATGGACCATAAAATTTCTATAAATGATAGGAGGAGGATCATTTAAAAAATGAGACAAGGTATATGGCTGTGTTTACTAAAGTAATTCCTGTACAGTGAAGAACAGTATGCACAATATATAATCTCCCTTCTGAATCTTTGCATGTAGRAAAGATCATTTTGAGAGATATGCTTGTAACTTTGCTGTCTTTGTTAAAATATTCAACGTTACCCTTTGTGTGTTTACGGCAGTCCTCTCAGTTGCTGTGATCTGAAACCCTAGCTAGCAACCCTTTGCTAGCTATTTCACCAACAGCTGAAGTGGATTTCCCGTTTAGTAATCTCATTTGCCTGCCTTTTATTTTAGTTCTAATTGCTGTTTTCCTGGAATGTTTATAAAATTAATTGCTCATTTTTGTAGTTTAGAATATGTAAAGTTTAAAAAACATCTTCAAGCTCAAGCTGAATAAACTTCACTTAAATCCTTTAATGGAGAAGGCAGCTCATTTTAATGAGAGCTCTGTCTCTAAGAGAGCTCGAGGCAGAACAGGGTGACGTTGTCCTACGGCCAGCACGGTGCAGGAGGTCAGCTGAGGTTCTCCATGTCTCTGAATCCCGGCTTTTATCACCTGCTTTGAACTTTACTTTCCAACATTCTGGGTAAGCTGCTTTCATTTCCCTGGTTAATTAAAAAAAGTTGCTGGAATGATTTTGTTTGCCTGAGCTTTTGGGAAGAAGTTAAAGGTACTTCGCAAACTGCACAAAGCTTGTGCTTGGAATAAGAGGAYGGATCCTGACGTTCATGTGCTTTATTTTGACTCTTCAATCTGGGCTAGTGATTTGGTTACTCATTTAACTCTTGCTTAAGGCTGGTGTGCCATAATACAACGGGAAAGGGGGCCTTTGCCCAACATGAAAACAGAAGCTGCAACCTGACATGATTTTCCTTTCTGGCTGTACACGTGCTGTTGACCATGCTGAGGTGTTTGAAGGCGAGCACGTGATAATAAAGCAATCTGCCATATATATCTCGAGGGAGAACCTTGCTCCGAGTTTTAAATGTGGGGTATTTCTCATACACATGCACAAAGTCTGTTTGCTCTTTTGAATTTGACTGTACAAAGTAATATAGCGTAGGCAGCCTAGGGAATGCTATCGTTTCTATTCTTTTATTCAAAGAAGAAAGACCGAGTTCTTGGCCTATATTTGTTGTTAAAATCTACAGCAGAAAAATACATTAGTTTCTTTTTTTATATAGTTAGAAGAATACTCATTAGGGATAAAACATTTCAAAATTTTTTTTTTCTAGCAGGGTCTGCTAAGCCAGGAATATCTAAAGACAATTTGCATTCATAGCAACACAAAGTTCCCTAACTAGGATTGAGATTTTTCCAATGTCTTTAGACCCCTCAGGATGGATGCAGGTTCCTTGCTTGCCAGGTGAGCTGCCTACCACCCAATGATGGTCCCAGGACAGGAGGCCAGGCATCTTCACCCACTTGGGGCAGGTGCTAACGAGTGGTTGTGTCTAGTCCTCCTCCCTGGCTGTGCTGTGGGTGGACCTGGTGCTGGGGTCCTCCCTGCTCTTGGTTGTCCCCTCCTTGGCAGCCAAATCCCAAACCAGCCTCCGCCCGCCACTGGCAGTTCCACCTTCTCCGAAATAAGGAAGCAAGTTCCGACCCCTGCAGCAGGGATTACAGAAGGTTCCTGTTTTGTCACCCTCGTGGAGGGAGTTTGTGTCAGCTCTGGCAGCCACAAGGCGAGAGCTTGAGCCCCAGCGAGTCTCCTGTTGTAAAACTTGACAAGCACCCATTTGTGGATAGCACTAACAAGGTAGAAAAGGGGGCAGGCAATCGGAGTTTAGAAGCAGGTCTGTTCCAAAACACTGACCTGTTCTGTGTGGGGACTGATGCTCGGATCACAACCCGTGCTCAGGAGAAGGGCTAAATGCATTCAGTGCTATTTCTGCCAGGAATAGCTTTGCCCATGCACCATGTGCATAGAAAACAATTCTATCTGTTGCAAACTCTGTTACCTTCTTCACTTAAAGGCTTAACATAAAATCCCCTGATAATCAATGGAAAGACCCCTGGTGTGTTTGGTGAATTCTGTATGAGCTCGTGGTAGAGAACAGTGCTATAATTTGA